GGGTGGACTCGAACCTCCAGCCTTTTGGTTAGCAGCTGAGCACATTAATAGTTTGCACCACCCAGGGACTATTTCTATAGAAACCAAAAAAAAAAAAAAAAACCAAATTTGTTACCATCGAGTCGATTCCGACTTACAGCAACCCGTTAGGGATCCGATAGGACAGAGTAGAACTGCCCCATAGGGTTTCCAGGGAGCAGCTGGAGGATTTGAACTGCTGACTTTTTGGTTAGCAGCCGAGCTCTTAACCACTGTGCCACCAGGGCTCCATGCCTGTGGTGGGCATACAATTATCTTTGTTTTATAGAGGCCAGATACTTTAAGTAATTTGCCCAAGGTCGTACTGCTATGGGGAAAAGCTGGGCCTCAACCCAGGCTGTATGGCTCCAGAGCCTAGTCCATCCCGTTACTAAATGGCTTCCCGATAGGAAGAGGGAGGGGCTGGAGGGTAGGGAAGAGAAAGAGGGCCCTGAGGCAAAGGGCTGGAGGAGGGAGTGGGCTTTCCCGTTCCAGGCTCAACCCCTTCCCACAGCTGAGCCCCTGGGAGAAAGGCTTGCCTTCACAGCAAGGTAATAACGACTATAATCCAGTTGCGGTGGAATTGATTCCGACTCCTGGCCAGCCCATGTGTGCAGAGTAGAACAATGCTCCATCGAGTTTTCCATGGATGATTTTTCAGAAGTAGATCATTGGACTTTTCTTCTGAGATGCCCCTGGGTGGACTTGAACCTCCAACCTTTCAGTTAGCAGCCAAGTGTGTTAACCCTTTGCACCACCCGGGGACTCCACATGGCACTTATACAGCCTTTACTAGACAACAGGCACGGTTGTGTTTTACATGTATTAACTCATTTATTCCTCGCAACAACCCCAGGATGTAAGTAATGTTAACATCTCCATTCTACAGATGATCCTTCAACTCCCAAGAGAGTCTGGAGTCCTTGGAGTTTGATGAGATCCTACCTCTTTTAGGTAGGAACTATTACCATCCCCCTTTTAACAGGTGAGGCTCACCTTTATGTGATGTCACACCTGGCCCAGGATGGGAAGCTGGTACCACACACAGATAAGCCTCTGATCATTTCTCATTAGTCATAGTCTGGAACGGCCCGCCCTGACCCGCTGTAGACACCACATCCTGTTCTCTCTGCTCCTAATCTTTTTGCTCCTGCCCTGATTAATTGTTTGCCCACCTGTACTCCTCCCTTCCTCAACCTTGGACGTGCGGCTTGGGTGTGCAGTCCTGTCCTTGCTGCCTTAGCAGAGAAAGTCCTGGATTTTCCTTTTTGATACCATGATCCACAAGCTCCCTCTGGTGCTCACTGGCTGTCCTGGATGAACATGATTTCCAACCTAACTCTCTAGGAACCCAAGCTTGGGATGTCATTTTCACCCCAGGCCCCTATGCCCTGGTGTCTGGACTCAGTCCGGGCTTGCTCTGACCTGGGATCAGGAAATGAAGGTTCCAGATTTGGGATCATGGAGAACAACAAATTACCCCACCAGAGGGGCAGGCTCAGGGGCCCCAGGTCTATCTTCCCAGATTGGTGGATGGGGCAGGGGTTTTTGGTCTGTTGCTCCCACTTTGGGAATCTGGGAGAGATAGAGAGCATTAGTGGTGGGCATTGGGCACTGGGTCACTTCTGCTTTGCATGACCAGGTAGATATCCCTCTAGATGATTGTTGCTAACAAGCTTGTCTATTTGTAATAGTCATAATTTCACAAGTCAGTATACAATTACACAGCAATAATAACCAGCTGTATTTATTAGCCTTTCCAATGCCAAGTGCTGTGTAAAGTGATTTATATGCATTATCTCATTAAATCTACATAACAATTCTATAAGATAGGTACTGTTGTCCCTTTTTTACAGATAAGAGAACTGAGGCCCAGAGAGCTTCAGTAACTTATTTAAGATTTAAAAACCAGTAAATGGTGGAGGAGGAATTAAAACTCAGGTTAATAATCACATTTGCAATCAGGACCATGCAAGTTAAGATCACAATTTAATACTATTTTGTACCTATTATACTGGCAAAGATTAAAAAATTGATAATACCAAGTGTTGGTGTGAAGGTAGAACAACAGGAACTCTTATACATTTGTTTGTGGGAGTGTAAATGGATGGCCTGCTATGGAAAACACGCTTCTGGTAAAATTGAATACTAACGTACCTTCCTATTCAACTCTTAGATATGTACTCTAGAGAAACTTTTGAATTTGTGTATCAGGAGATATGAACAAGAATGATTACAGCAGCATTGGTAATAATAACCAAAAAACGTGTTATCTGGGATAATCAGGAGACAGAACCACACCAGTTATTTTAACAGAGAGAATTTAATATAAAGAGTTGTTAACTAGGTATAAAGTTGTTAATTTGGTGATTAAAAGGGTATAAAAAGAACTCTAAGGTGTAATGAAGGTAGCAATATCAGGAAGCAACTTATGCTCCTAGAGCTGAGGGAACAAAGAGAAGTGGTTGAAATGATTAAAACTTAGAAACTTAGAGGAGGGGCCTTTGGAGCTGAGCTTCAGATATCTGAGAAGGGAGCTCTGCTCAGCTGGGGCTTGTGCCTCTGAGCTCAGAGGAGGACCAGGTAGGGCAGGGACTCAGACTTCGGAGGAGGAGGTACTGATCATCTGGGACTGGTGCTTCTGAGCTCAGGGGAGGGTTCCTATGGTGCTGGGTCTAGATCCCTGAGATGGGAGTGCTGGTTGGTGACATAAAAAGGAATTGCTGCTGCTAAGTAAAGACACGTTGCTGGATGATGCTCGAAGGAATAGGCTTCTTCTCCCTGAAATCTCCCTGTAGCCCACCCGGCTTATTGGCAGAGTCTAACAGGAAGCAAGCTGGTAACACAAAATGTGGTCTGCAGAGTCCCAAACACAGCATCATAGAGCAGATTTTTTTCCTTTATTTTGTTTTTATTATTATTGTTAAGGATTGAATTGTGTTCCCCCAAAATGTGTGTCAATTCGGCTAGGCCATAATTCCCAGTATTGTGTGTGGTTGTCCACCATTTTTGTGATCTGATGTGATTATCCTATGCGTTATAAATCCTAACCTCTATAATGTTAGTGAGTCAGGATTAGAGGCAGTTATGTTAATGAGGCAGGACTCAATCTACAGGATTAGGTTGTATCTCGAGTCAATCTCTTTTGAGATATAAAAGAGAGAATCGGGGAGAGAGGAGGGGGGACTTCATACCACCAAGAAAGAAGCGATGGGAGCAGAGCATGTCCTTTGCACCCAGGATCCCTGCACTGAGAAGCTCCTAGACCAGGGGAAGATTGATGACAAGGACCTTCCCCCAGAACCAACAGAGAGAGAAAGCATTCCCCTAGAGCTAGCGCCCTGAATTTGAACTTCCAGCCTCCTAGACTGTGAGAAAATAAATTTCTGTTTGTTAAAGCCGTCCACTTGTGGTATTTCTGTTATAGCAGCACTAGAAAACTAAGACACCTTTTTTTGTGTGAAATATGTGTAACTTAACATTTGATATTTCAGCTGTTTTTATGTGTACAATTTGGTGACATTATTTAAGTTCCCCGTGTTGTGTAACCACCACTATTTCCAAATTTTTTATCAGCCTTAACGGAAACTCAGTACCCCTAAGCAATAGTAGATACTTTTTATATTAACAAATATTATATAAAAAATCCTAAGTTAGTCTGACTACAAACATTGTACTTATAACCCCCTGCATTCTGCCTCTGTATGCAATGGATTTACTTTTTCTAAGCTGTAAAAACAATATTCTAACAACATGCAATATTTCAAAGAAAAAATGGCTTACCAATAATTGGACCATTTTAACACCATGACTCTGTTTTACTTCCACCCATTCCATTTTAGTCTTTCTTATGAGCAGATATAAATTTTCAAAGATGTGACTCCAGCACCCCATACAACTGAGTGTCTTGCCATATCGTAAGTTCTGTTGCCAACTGTTACGGGGTGTTGTCACCAACCCTGAATGAATGAAATGTTATTTTCTTAATCATTTCTCTTCTTTAAACATCTGGATTGTATTCCTTGAGACTGTTTGGTTTCAAGTGAGGGAAACACTACTCAAACCAGCTCAAGCATAAAGAAAAAAAAAAAATCGATGTGTGTGGTGGTGGGTGGTGGTGGTAGAACGGTGGAATTTTCTGTCTTCAACAGCTGGAAAGAATGCAGGGTTAACTCACAGAACTAGGGCCTAAAATTGGGGACTAAAATGAGCCAGGACTCTTTGTCTCTGTCCATTTCTTGTTTGGACCTCTCTCGATTTCTCTTTGAAGGTTAGCCTCTTTCTTTCCTACTGCAGACAGGTCTTCTTCACCTGGCATGGGTCATGGCCACTAGCACCCCCAGCTTTGCAAAGGCAGTAGAAAGAGCATTCTGATAACAATTCCAGGAAAGGACTGTGATTGGCTCTGCTGAGTCACCTGCCCACCCACTGGGCCAATGATGCAGTTAGGGTGACCATGAATTATAATGGGCTAGGCCGGATCCCATACCCATTCTATGGCCACAGTGGTGACAGGGCCTATTGTTACCAGATAAAGGGGGATGAAAAGGCAGCTGGGAAGACAGAAAACAGCCACCAAGTCACTACACAAGGTTCTGATTTTTCACCATGGCAACACTCAATAAACATCCTCACACACAGGATTCTTTACTTGTTTTAATGATCACCTTGTGATAAATTTCCAAGGAGGAGATCACCTCCATCATGCTTGCCAGAAGCCATATAAATGTTTGTGTTTTCAAAGCATATTCACACCCAGTGTCGCATCTGTGCCTCATCAAAAACCCTGGGAAGTGACAGAAAGGAACCAAAAACACAGAGGAGTTGAGAGATGCGCCCAGGGACACACAGTGGATGAGGACAGAGGGGAACCCAGAACCCAGGTCCTCTGACTCCCACTCCAGTGCTCTCCCCCTACAATATCACGTTCAAAGTCTAGACTAGTGGAGGGAGGGTTTAAGTCCAGTGTCATCTCTGGCCAGTTAAGGAAGGGAGCTTCGTCTGCTGTCTTCTCCTCGGAGGAGGTGGGCCAGCCCTCTCAAGGAGAGAGGCTGGTGGCCCCTGCCTTCAGAGCCTGCTCGAGCTCTGATAGGGGAGGACCCTCCACTGGACCTGGCATCCTCCCAGTGGGCACTCTCAGCGCGCAGCTCCTCCAGGATACTCTGGAGATGCCTCAGCGTGAGCAGGAGTCTCTGGTCTTGGACCTGCATTTCAGACTAGGAGAGAGAACAAGGCCATTAGGGGGTACAGAGCATTGTATGTTCCCCAGAAAGCATGTTCCCATCACTGTCCCATCGGATGTCCACTTGTGAGGTGCACAACCTCGGAGAAGCCCTGTCCACCAAAATCTCCATTTCTTCATCTACAAAGTGGGAAGCAAATCACTTACCTTGCAAGGCTCTTACGAGAACAGAACAAATTAGCCCTCTGGAAAACACTTTCTAAAATGTGATGTGCTGAGTTAGCCAGGGCTTGTGATTATCTTCGTCATCATCATTTTATTAAATGTTATTATTATTATTTACAACTCCACTATATCCTTTAATCTTCAATATAACAAACAAGTCTTTTTACAGGTATTAAGGCAGTAGAACGTTCTGTTGTCATCCATAAGTTTTTCACTGGCTAATTTTCAGAAGTAGATTGCCAGGCCTTTCTTCCTAGTTGGTCTTATTCCGGAAGCTCTGCTAAAACCAGTCCCCCATGGGTGACCCTACTGGTATTTGAAATACAAGTGGCATAGCTTTCAGCATCATAGCAACATGCAGGCCACCACAGTCAGACAAACTGACAGGCAGGTGGTGGGCAACGTTTCATTCTATTAGACATAAGGTGCCATGAGTCAGAGCCCACTGGACGGCAATTAACAATGACGTGATAGAGGCTTCAGATTAAAACTCAGTGGGGTAAACCCTGGAGGCAGATAGGAACCCTTTAGAATGGTGGTTCTCATCATGTGGGTCCTGAAAACCCTTTCAGGGTTTCCATGAGGTCAAACCTATTTTCATAACAATACTAAGAGTTTATTTGCCCTTTTCACTGTCATTTTCATATGAGCGTACAGTGGAGTTCTCCAGAAGCTACACGATGTGTGATATTACAACAGATTGACTGCAGCAGCAGATAGGAGACTCTGGCTGCCGTCTATTAAGGGAAACATTGAAGAGATTGGCAGCAATGCAAAACAATGCCACTCTTCTCACTAATGTTTGCTTTGAAAATATAGTTATTTTAATAAAATAAGTATTTGAATAAAATATTATTTTAGTAGTATGTAATGAGTTTATTGTTTTTTTAAATGCATTAACAAATAAAGATTTAAAATTTCTCAGCATTGATTTCTAATTCAGTCATTATTGATGAATATAACTCACACAAACAAAAGTTTTTTGGTGTCCTCAGTAATTTTTAAGAGTCTTATCTCACAAGGCAAGAAGTCCTGAGGTGGGCGGTCTCTGGGCGCAGTTTGGTTAAGCTCCACGACACTTAGCTCCGTCCTCCTGAATGAACAGGCACTTAGTCATCGGGCTGGTTGGTCTTGTGATCACTGCAGCCCTCTCCCCTCTTCTAGACCCAACCAGGAGTTTGGGGCTGACATGATCCCAGGAAAGGGGGGAGAGGCCCAGATTCCAGTGCATGCTACTCATTGGTGTCAGTGATTGTCCCTCCTGCTGCATGGAGCGACTGTCCAGTGCTGGTCCTCCCGTGATGGTCAAGTGTGGCTTCTTGGATGGGCTCCAGAGAGGCCCTAATGGAGCCAGCTATCATTCCACGTGATAGGGGTTAAAACCAAGCTTGGCTGGGAAAGTTTACAAGCCATGGATCAGCAAGAGGAGACTCAAGGATCCCCATTTCTTAGTATCATGTGGCAGGGGATACTTGGGTCTGGGCAACTGTGCTTCTGGAAGCTTTCCCCCACCTTGCTCTACCTCTTTATGGTGTGAGAGAAAGGTTCTTTATCAGTGGGGAAATCAGCACTTTGGGGTCAGCTGTTTGTGCCCACTGTTTTGGGTGGGGAGCACAAGAAGGTCAGCTGTCCTGCATCTGGATGCCTGAAGATTGTGGGAAGCTGCAGTCCCTTTGGCTGGAGGCAGGTATCCCCTGGTCCAGTGAAAAGCCTGTTGAGTCAGCCTCTCCCATGGGGTGAAGACAGGGCTGGGTCCCAGCTGGCCTGTTACCTGGCAACCCAGAAGGAGCCTCCGGGGTCACTTCCCCTCAATTCTGTCTGTCCCTCTACAGAATGTGAAGCTGATCTCTTGCGATATAAACCTTGGGGGCCTCCTGAGGTTCCCTGAGTTACTTATTTCTCTCTCGGTTGATGCTCCAAGTACTTTGGGGTACCCCTCCACTTTTAGGGTAGCTCTTTACCAACAGGAAATGGAAGACAGGAGCAAGCTGGGCAGATAACTTTCTTCTCCTTTCTCTCTCCCCCAAGGTACAGTTCCTCTTTCAATCCCTGCAGAGAGATCCTGCAGCCAAGTAGGCCAGCCTGCTGAGAGAACTGCTGGGCCTCTGCGAGGCTCCTTCTGAAATGATAGCCAGCTCAGTAACATGATGCATTGCCCCATATAGCACTGACCTTTGTCTCAATTCCCCATTTCCCTCACTCTCACCACTGTTTGTACCTCCAAACAGTTGTCCTTAATCCTTGTCCTACCCTCTGCTCTCTAGAGGGCCCAGGCTAAGGCGGTGGATATACTTTGTGTCCACCTGGGTCAGCATAGAATAGTCAATATGGATGTTTCAAGCATAAACCAGTTGCTGTCAAGTTGATTCCAACTCATAGAAACCCCATGTGTGTCAGAGTAGACCTGTGCTCCATAGGATTTTCAATGGCTAATGTTTTGGAAGTAGATCACCAGGACTTTCTTCCAAGGTGCCTCTAGGTGAACTCAAACTGCCAAAATTTCAGCTAGCAGCTGAGTGTGTTAACCATCTGCACTGTCCAGGGACTCCAATCCTTGTCTGAGCCTCTGCTTTCTAGATGACCCAGGCTAAGCAGCAGGTATACTCCATGTCCACTTGGGTCACAATGGAATAGCCAACATGGATGTTCCAAGCATACAGTGAGTGAACTATACATGTCTCCTCACTGAATCCTTATAATAACCCCTGTGATGTTGGTACTATTGTTATTCCCATTTTATAAGGGAACTGAGGCTCAGAGAGATAAAGCCTCGCTAGATGCCTCACAGCAGCGGAGGTGGGCACATACCCAAGAACTCAGTGTAATTCCAAAACCAGTCTGGCCAGCACTTCCCCGGTGCCAC